GCGCTAAGACCTCCTCGTTAGTAGATCTCTCAATTAGTCTTTCGAAAAAGGAAAAGAGCTTTCAATTGTAGAATTGCCCTAACTTTTAACTCACCACTTCTAATTTCTGTGCGCTATTCAGTTCGTTGCCTAATTTCAAATTGGCGGCCAACAACATCGCTTCCAGCACCGTGAAATGTGGATCCAGCACATCGTTTTGCATGATGTAACGTGACATTTTGCGGAAAATTTTCATGTTACGCGGACTATTGTTGACCATAATTTCGCCTGATGTTTTCTTTGCGCTGTCAATAGAAATAAACACACATACATATTTGTAAATGTGTATATGTACGCGTGTACACAAATTATAAACTTATTTAGCATACAAATTAAAAATAAATTAATGCAAATGCTTTTGTTAGTGACTTTTTGTGGGTGGTGGGTAAATAAACTATGTAATTAACTCAGCACTGCTTATTAATCAAATACATTACCCATAGCCGGCAAGTAGATTCAATAATGTAGTTTTCCCCGCTCCTGACGGTCCCATAATAGCGGTTAGTTCGTGCGCTCGAAATTGCCCATTGATGCTGCGTAACAACTGTTTGTGACCTTTATTTTTTGTTTTTGTTTTTATTTGCAAAGCCAGTCGAGGTGAACATGAAATGACGAAAATAATTTATTTAATTTAGTTGATTATAATGCTGTTGTGAAACACGTAATCATAAGGCGGATAGTTACAAGTTTAGTTTAATTAACTCCGTGGACAATTGTTAGAATCTATATATGTATTAGTACGTTTGTGGTCGTTCGTTTGGCGATCTTACTGAACGTAGAACACCATTTAAAAGGTAGATGAGGAGAGTTTTAATGGATTCAAAATTGGTTGAAAATTACTCCCAAAATCATCGATAAAAAATGCCATATTTGTGCATTGTTGTTGTTGTTGCAACCTAATCAATTTGAGTGGTTTTCGGATTTTGTTTTACTTCGCATTTGAAATGAAACTTTGTAAAAGGATAAATGTGAAGATAAAGAAAGAAATGATAAAAGCGATGTAGATGAAATGAAGGAAAAATTTAAGATAACGGCCAAAATGAAAAGATAAGAAATGAAAGAATAAGAATATTCATTGGTAAGAATCGAAATACATAATAATAATAATAATAATAATAGATTGGCGCTCACACATATATGTTAGTGTTTGGCCGAGCTTCTCCTCCGATTTGTGGCGTGCGCCTTGATGTTGTCACACAAAGCGGAGGGACCTACAATTTTACGCCGACTCCGAACGGCGATTGTATTTTTATGAGAAGCTGTTTTTCATGGCAGAAATGCACTCAGAGGTTTGCCATTGCCTGCCGAGGGACGACCGCTGCTAAGAAAAAACCTTTTTTCTATATTTTTTGCGATGTTGCTTTGACCAGGGCACTGCTTACCACTAAACCACAGCGGCCGACTTTCATATAATACGCTCGATAAAACAACATAGAATATGCATAGACAAAATATCCTCCGCGAGAAGTGCATCAAATGGCACAACAAAGCACTAATTATGTCCTGGGCAGCAACCAGGAAGCACTGCAACCCATGATAAAAACATAGCAAGGTATAACCGTTCTCTCAATTTGTCGGCCATGATTTTTTTTTGAAGTTTGCCAACATTTTAAAATCATATAAAAATGAAAACAAAAAATTGAAATTGTTCGAAATTGTTGTTGCTTGAGATTGAAAATGAAAATGTGTGTGTGAGTTTGTGAGTAAATTTAAAAATTAAATTGTTTGGAAACGTCAAGAATTTTAAAAGTGACTCTCAGCGGTTCTACCTTACTATATTTTTATCATGCTGCAACCTATTGTTTTTAAATTAACAGCCGGTTTCACCAGCAATTTAAGTTGAAAATGTTTTTTTATTTTCTGTAAATTTCCATATATAATTAAAAAAAAAAATCAAATCATTTTTCACTTAAATTGCTTTCGTTATATTGGCTGTAATTTATATTTAAATTTAGCAACAAGAGTTTACGGGGTGTGCATAGCTCAGTGGTTAGCGCTTCTGACTTTGCACATCGATGATGCGGGTTCGATTCCTGCTGAAGTCTAGAAAAAGAAGTCTGATGAGGAGATGTGGTGATCTCCGAAATAGCTGCTATAACTTCTACCGCTTAGCTTTTGTTGCTTTTTTTTAGACTTTGTTGCTGTTTCCTAATAAACAAAAACGTGGTACAAAGCTCAATACCAAAAATTAAAATTAAAATAATTATATTGTTCAAATTGAATATATATTGATTGCTTGTTGTTTGCCTGATTTTGTTTGTTAACAAGGAAATTGACATGAAATGCTCAGAATGCAACCCTGAGTCTTCGACCCGTCGCACACAAGGCAAAAGTGACGATTTAGCTGGACAAAAATAATTAACTAATAAAATTGATTTGGTTTAAAACCATTTTAGCAAAAATAACAGCATTGATAAAAATATAAATCTTCCAACCCCTGCGATTTTTTTTTTATCCACTATGATATGAAACATGATGTTTACATTTTGATATTTACATGAGATAAATAACCGTAACAGAAAAATATTATACAGGTTAACGTATGGACAACATAGGGGTCTCGTAGCAAATAAAAAATTTGAAGATTCATCGTTTCGCTTTTATATTTTTATATTTTTTTATTTGTCAATCAGCTGATGCGAATAGATTATTTGGTAGCTGTAAACAAGATACAAAAAAACCGTGTAATTTCGTAAACTTTTTACTAATAAATTATACAAGGTCCATTGGGAAAATCATAAAGATTCGTGGTTTCTATACATTACATTTCTTATACCACTGAATGTTCAGATATGAGGTTTTAGTATATAGCTCTTCCATTCTAAATTTGCTTAGTGTAATACTTTTGTGATAAATAAATACTAAAGGAAGCACATACAGCTGAGGCCTTTGTAAGGACATTACTAGTTACTCTCCTCGTGATGGCAAATTAAATCCTCGAGTAACAGAAAAAATTAGCAAGTTCTATTAATAAGAGAGCTTGTCCATCATAATATTTCTTTTAATCTTTGTTTTTAATTCAATATATGAACTGTAAATAAGATAAGCTAATAATAGATAACGAATTAATTATGCCTGCTTGGTTGTGGCGCTAACAATTTGCACTCAGTTTATCGAAATAATCTCAATATTACAAATACTATCAAATACACACTACATATACATATTTGTGTACATATGTACACTGACGGAAACAACTGATTTTTTTTTTTTTTGAAATCTACTAATTGAAAGACTACTTTTAAACATACTGACTTGGAAGTTGTTTGAACCAAATGCATTTTAAAGTAGTTGAAAATATATGCAGGAAAAGGCAATTGACTACTTCCTAGGACATCGCCATTTTAAATAAATGAGGTCGTTGCAGGGAAAAAAGTAGAGAGTTTCAACTAGTTATCACTGAAAATAAAGTAGTTTATAAATTACTTTCAAATTTATTAAATTTCCTGCAGGGTAGTTAGGTAGGCGGGCTGCCTCCGCATGTGGAGGCACACTTGGACTCGACTGAGCTGTCCGTTGTGATAATATTAGGGTAGTTTGTGAATTGCAATTTCTACACCCGTTATTACCCGAAGTTCAACAACTTCGATTAACATTGCATACAATATTGCAAAGTCGTCACTGGATGATCTCAGCTCAATGCTAATTTGTGTTCTAGAATACTTATTTTCTGTAGTCAAAGTACTTTTCATTTTCCTTTAGATTTCTAGTGTGAGGTACTTCATAACACTTTGAGACGATTTTATCTTTAAGGAACCTGCAATTTCACACAATTACTGATAAATACAGCACAATTGTCAGTTATTAAATAGTCAGCTTGAATTTGAAGTCCGATTTGTTTATGCCATTCAGCATTAAGTAAAAATGAAAAAATGCTGATATACATATGTACATACTCGTATGCTTGTGTATCTCCAATTATACTTATATGTATGCATACAGATTTGTACTTTGGTTTTTCGCAGTGCTGTCATTAC